CAAATTAGTTTAACCAAAAATTATAATTTTTCTACATTTTTTTTTTACATTTTTATTTTTTTATATTTGTGTTTTTTTTGTTTTTTTTACATACCGTCACCCTAGCAGTACAGTGTCACCATAGTGACACTGTACTACTTGTGGGGGGTTATGAAGATTTTTTTTTATACACTGATTGCTTTTACACCCATAGAGGCTGAAAAAGCAATCATTTCTCCTTCTCTCTGGCTGCATTCTTGCAGCCATTGAGAAATACTGTGTGAGCTGTGATTGGTCACAGCTTGTCACATGGTATAAGGCTGTTGTGAATAGCCTTGTACTATGTGATCTCTGTGATCATTCACAGATTTCACATGTAGTAACCAATGTCAGAAGTGACATCTTGCTTACTATTCTTCATGAGATCACAGATTGGCCAATCCGTGATCACATGATCGGGACCTCACACAGAGGTCCCGTACGACGATTGGTGTTCCACTGTGTCCGGAGGACACAGCGGGCACCGGATTTCGGTGCTGCGCGCTCCCAGGGAGCGTGCACAAACGGGGCGGGGAGGCCGTTTATAAATGGCCACCCGATCCTGCACTGCTCCCATCCGGCCATTTTTATATAAAGTTTTTATCTGTCTCAAAAAAATGCTAAAAAATTAATATGGGTACAGTGTTGCATGACCGCACAATTGTCATTCAAAGTGTGATAGCGCTGAAAGCTAAAAATTTGGCCTGGGCAGGAAGGGGGTAAAAGTCTGGACTCAAAGAGGTTCCCCCCCCCCCCCCCCCCCCCTACCTTCCTTGCTTTTCACATCAGAGTCTTCAATCCCCCACCACCATTTCATATAGGAATCCTCATTCCCACTCCTCTCTTCCTTTCACATCAGAGTCCTCTTCCCCCTTCACAACCGTTCACAAGAGAGTCCTTCCTATCTTCACTACAGCATGCTTGTGGTAGCTTGGTGGAGGGCGGGAAGGAGGAGCAAGTCTAAATAAAGGTAAATCTCCATCTTTTTGAGAATTCTGGGGCTGCTCTGGATGCCACCCGTCTTGGATTAGTGCTATGCATTGCCATGGTGCTGTTGGCAGTCTGCATGAACCATGGAAATACTTGACCTGGTGCAAAAATATTGGATGTAGCACAACATCCCTGACAACCGCAGATGACACACCAGTGTCACGGTATCCCAGATAAGAAACACTGCTATATGGTATGAGGAAAGTGATGATGTTTCCTTTCAGTTTGAAAATGGAAGTGAAGTAACATTCTTTTGCTTCCACTGTGTGATGAGACACCTAGCTAACAGGTGGGAAGCCTCACTTTTGTCATTCACTGTGTGCACTACAAGTAATACGGAGTCACGTCAGAGCGTACTGAGTTTCAAAGAGGGGAAATTGTTGGTTTCGCTTAGCTGGTGCCTTTATGACTGGAGTTGCCAATTTATTTGCTGTATCACAATGTACAGTATCAAAGGTTATGATGGAATATACAGTTTCCGGGAAAACATAAGCACGGTCGACTGCAGAGCTCAGTCTCAGTTCAGTGAAGACTGAGATTGAGCTCTGCAGTCACTTTTGTAGCAGTTGTATTTTTTTATTCCAGGTCACAATTCTGCGCAATGTCTTTTTTGTCTCTCTTGGTCAGTTGACCATGTGGATCACTCTTATGCTTATCAGACTGTTTTCCTGGAAACTGTATTGCCGTTGTGACAAAACCGCCTAGCAACCAGCCTTAGTTACTGTGTTAGAGAGCTACTTCCTTGCTGCTGGAGCACAGGAACAAGGTATTCTAGATGGGAAATGCACCCAAGAATTGGATGACACTAGTTTAGGTGCAAACAGGAACTCCTTTATAGAACATAAATACAGGTTTTTATACCCTACAAAAATAGGGGCAATCACCACATAAACAATTACACATTGAAGATAAAACAAGACTAATCAAGTCAGGAGGATTCGCAAACAGACAGAAACAATAGGTTGCTTAATTAAATCAATTAACAATTGGAGAAAGAGACTTACCAGTAAACAAATCACTTCTTAATAAAAAGATTACACATAATAAGTAAGAGACCTCAGCATCAGGTTCTTTTGAGTCTAGGAGGGGGATTTAAGCAGTCAATGCTGGTTTGGGCACAAAGTCCCCGGATCTGTATCCAGGTCTTCCAGTTCTCAGAGTTTGTTTGTTTCAAGGAGACATGGACTTAAATTCAAAGTAAAACCACTCCAAAAGGTCCCCCAGGCACACATCTCCCAAAGAATAGAGCCCCCTCAAATGCCAGGGCCCATATTCAGTAGGCAAGAGGCCAGCCTGCATCACTGGGGACCCAAACACTAGTGAAGAACTCGCTCGGGTGAGGATGGTGCTAGATTCCTGGACAGATATGTGTCCTTTTATGAAAAGTCAACAGCTACAGTATTTGGAAAGGGAGACCTTTTGGCCCCAAAAAGCATTGGGTGTCTTTTCCATGGTCACTTGGACTCTTCGATTATTTGTTTGCCACTGTATAAGTTGTTATTAATGTCTACTGTTAGTGAGTGTTGGACTAGAAGGCCTGGCTCGCAGTCTCCACTCTAATTCATCCCAAAGGAGTTCTATTGGGTTGAGGTCAGGACTCTGTGCAGGCCAGTCAAGTTCCTCCACCAAATACTCTCTCTAATTGTCCTGGTCACCAATGTCACTGGAAATGAAAGTGTAGGTAGATCCGAAATTTTGAGTTTCCAACACAACAAGACTAGAAGGGACATTTTCTAATGGGGACACTTGGTCCCATTAAAAGCAATGATTTTCTTAATGATGGAAAGATACCATCTCACTTCCTGTTGAGTCAGCAAAGAAAAAAAAATATATACACTATATTGCCAAAAGTATTTGGGCCCCTGCCTTTACACGCACATGAACTTTAATGGCATCCCAGTCTTGGTCCCTAGGATTCAATATTGAGTTGGCCACCCTTTTCAGCTATAACAGCTTCTACTCTTCTGAGAAGGCTGTCCACTAGGTTAGGAGTGTGTCTATGGGAAGGTTTGACCATTCTTACAGAAGCGCATTAGTGATGTCAGGCACTGATGTCGGATGAGAAGGCCTGGCTCACAGTCTCCACTCTAATCCCAAAGGAGTTCTATCGGGTTGAGGTCAGGACTCTGTGCAGGCCAGTCAAGTTCCTCCACCCCAAACTCGCTCATCCATATCTTTATGGACCTTGCTTTGTGCACTGGTGCGCAGTCATTTTGGAACAGGAAGGTGCCATCCCCAAACTGTTCCCACAAACTTTGGAGCATGAAATTGTCCAAAATGTCTTGGTATGCTGACACCTTAAGAGTTCCCTTCACTGGAACTAAGGGGCCAAGCCCAACCCCTGAAAAGCAACCCCACACCATAATTCCCCCTCCACCAAATTTTACACTTGGCACAATACAGTCAAGAAAGTACTGTTCTCCTGGCAACCGCCAAACCCAGACACATCCATTGGATTGCCAGACAGAGAAGCATGATTCCTCACTCCAGAGAACACATCTCCACTATTTTTAAAGTCCAGTGGCGGTGTGCTTTACACCACTGCATCTGACGCTTTGTATTGCACTTGGGATGTAAGACTTGGATGCAACTGCTCGGCCATGGAAACCCATTTCATGAAGCTCTCTACGCACTGTTGTGCTAATGATTCTGCAGGCAGTTGGCGACTTCTGTGCACTGTGAGCTTCAGCATGCGCTGACCCCCCTCTGTCATTTTACGTGGCCTACCACTTGGTGGCTGTTGTTCCCAGTTGCTTCCACTTAGTTATAATATCACTAACAGTGGACCGTGGAATATTTGGTAGCAAGGAAATTTTATGGATTGACTTTTTGCACAGGTGTCAACCTATCTGGGTAGTACGCTTGAATTCACTGAGCTCCTGAGAGTGACCTATTCTTTCACAAATGTTTGTAAAAGCAATCTGCATGCCTAGGTGCTTGATTTATACACCTGTGTACATGGAGGTGATTGGAATGCCTGAATCCAATGTGTATATGTGTGTATATGAGTGTGTGTGTATGTATGTGTATATGTACGTGTGTGAGTGTATGTATATGTGTATGTATGTATGTATATATGTATGTGTGTGTGTGTATGTATGTATGTATGTGTATGTGTATATATATATATATATGTATGTGTGTGTGTGTGTGTGTGTGTATATATATATATATATATATATATATATATATATATATAGGCAGTGCAGTATCCTGCCGCGGTGAAAATGAAGGTTTTAGCCCAGGATTCTCAACCATACAGGTTGCGGGGGCTCCAGGCAGTTCTCTTAACGCAGAAGAAACTGGTTTATCAGTTTCCTCTTTGGTTTGTAAATCCCGTTTTGAGACCTGGGGCCTGGAGATTTCTAAGCAAGTTGGGAGGGATGAGATCTCCAATTCTGGGTCCCTGTTTTGAAAGCAGCCAGCACACTGATTGCACAGGTGTATGCAGGCTTTTTGTAGAGACCAAACTATGATTCTGGGCTCCACCCCGGCAGACAGGAGGTCATTGCCCAGGAGTCAGGAAGGGCGCCACCTAGGAGAGGTGGAAGCCAGAGCAGCAAGGGGCTGCTAGCTGTGTGCAAGATAAGCCATTTTTTGGAAGGAGGCTGTGTGCATACAAGGAGTCCAATGCTGTGTGCTGGGACTAGCCAGTGGTCTGGGAGACCCATATAAATAGAGGTACTGCTAACCAGCAGGGCTGATAAAGAGAGCCAGGAGGCTGAATATTTTGTTTGTATTGATGGTGGATACCCCTGCGTGGGAAACCTGTTATGTTAAAACTTCCTTTTAAATAAAATTGGGCTAAAAGGCCTTTAACCACAAGCCTACGGGGCACTTATACCCCTCTTCCTGCCCAGGCCAATTTCCAGCTTTCAGCGCTGTTGCACTTTGAATGACAATTGCGCGGTCATGCAACACTACCCATGTGAAATTTTTATCATTTTTCCATGACAGAGCTTTATTTTGGTGGTATTTAATCACCTTTTTGTAAATTTTGTAAATAAGTGATTTTTCTCCTTTACTGATGTGCGCTAATGAGGCTGCACTGATGGGCACTGATAGGCTGTACTGATGGACACTGATAGGTGGCACTGACAGGCATCACTGATGGGCACTGAAAGGCAGCACTCATATATGGCACTGATAGGCGGTACTAATAGGCGTGGCTCTGACGGGCACGGCACTGACGGGCACTGTTGGGCGGCACTGACGGGCACTGTTGGGCGGCACTGACGGGCACTGTTGGGCGGCACTGACGGGCACTGTTGGGCGGCACTGACGGGCACTGTTGGGCAGCACTGACGGGCACTGTTGGGCAGCACTGACGGGCACTGTTGGGCAGCACTGACGGGCACTGTTGGGCAGCACTGACGGGCACTGTTGGGCAGCACTGACGGGCACTGTTGGGCGGCACTGATGCACACTGATAGGCGGCACTGACTGGCACTGATAGGCGACACTGACTGGCGACACTGAAAGGCGACACTGACTGGCGACACTGAAAGGCAGCTTAGATGGGCACTGAAATGTGGTACTGATGGGCACTGGCAGGTGGCATGGATGAGCACAGAGTTGGCACTGATGGACACTGACAGGTGGCGCTGCTGGGGCTACACAGATCAGGGCACACTGATCATCAGTGCTCTGATGATCTGTGTACATGTCCCCTCCGAGGAATGACGATTACCGGCTTTCCTCTCTGTCAGCGTGACAGCTCTTGGGGAGAGAAATGCCAATAACCATCTTTTTCCTGATTGGACACAGCTGATCACATGACCGAGCCGACATCTTCGGCTCTTTCCATTGATTGGTGATCCGCTCTGTCCGAGGGACACAGCGCACCGCCGATCGGCACGCTGCATGCTCCCGGAGCCGCACTTGCGCGGTTAGAATGGGAGGACATCATATGACGTCCTCCCAGAACGAGAGAACCGCCTTGCATCTGTCATTTTACTATATGGTGGGTGGGAGGCGGTTAAAAAGGAATAAAGCGAGTGGCTGTGTGCTGGAACAGCTCTACCATTTGAAGCTAGTTCTCACAATATATAATTATGTATATATTGTGATACTATATACCTTAAAGTGCTTGTAAAGGTTCAATGTTTTTTACCTTCATGCATTGTGTGCTTGAAGGTAAAAAACGTCTGTGTGCAGCAGGCCTCCCAGCTTGCCTCTAATACTTACCTGAGCCCCTTCTCAATCCAGTAACGAGCACGAGAGCAGCAACTCTCTCTGGGCGCTCTTCCTCCTCTTTAGCTGAGACAGCAGCAGGAGCCATTGACCGAGCAGTGCTCTTGTGTGAATGGACACACAGAGCAGCGGCTCAGGAGCGAGCAAGCACAAGTGCCCCAATAGCAAGCTACTTGCTCTGGGGGCACTTGGCAGGAGGGAGGGGCCAGGATGGATTGTGGGGGACCCAATAAGAGGAGGATCAGGACTGCTTATTGTAAGTAAGTATGATTTGGTTTGCTATTTTTAAATGATAACATTATAAACAATATAGTATAATAAAGCACACTCTGCCTGCACTCATTCAAGTATTTTTTGGGAGTCAGTTAAGCTTATAAAAAACGTATTCATTTTAAAAGACTAGTCTAGTACAGCAGAATATTCCATGGTACCTGAAGCACATACTGATTATCAAAGCTTTTATGCTATTGTTGAAAAAAAAAATAAAAGGTAGCGCTTAACCGGCATAAGCATTCAACTGAATTTATTATATTGTAACTTAAAATGTAATTTTCTAAAATGTAAAAGGTCTGTAAGCCTCTTACAGTTACTGTTGGAAAAGCAATTAATACAGATTTTAAAAAAATTGAAAAAATTAGAGCAGTATTTCCTTTTGTAAAATAATACATCTACAGTTTATAGATGATTGCACTCTAACTGTATTGTTTGCATAAAACTAGTTTAATAGTAACTATAGTGGGTGACAAGAGACAAATGTCCCAAAATTTCATCTCTGACATATTCCATCATTCTTTGGTTTGAATGAGGCAGACTAAAGCAGGTTGGCAAACTGTGATAAGTTTTGTCTTGCAGAGAGAATGTTCCTTCCTGACCTAAAGAGACAGTTATAACAGTTGATAAGATCAGAATATTCCCACACTACTGTTAATTAGGTTTCTTTCACTCCTATGCTTCTAATAGGGGCACTTGTTTCAGTAACAACTAAGAGGGCATTTCACTTACTTTGGAGCAGCTTCTATTCGCTTCCTGTTGTGGCTGCTGTTACTGTAAAGAACCCTCTCTTATATGGATCTTTGTTACATAGTTCGTCTGGCTGAAAAACAATAACAGTCCATCTAGTTCAGCCATAGAAAAAAAAAAAAAAAAAAGAGTAAGAATCCTACACCCACAGTTGATCCAGAGGAAGGCAAAAAACCCAGCAAAGCATTATCCAATTTGCTCCTTCAGGGGAAAAAAAAATCCTTCCTTATCCCCCGAGAGGCAATCGGATATTCCCTGGATCAACTTTACCTATAAATGTTAGTATCCAGTTATATTCTTTGTATCTAGGAAAGAATCCAGGCCTTTTTTAAAGCAATCCACTGAGCTGGCAAGAACCAACTCTTGAGGGAGTCTATTCCACATTTTCAAAGCTCTCACAGTGAAGAAACCTTTCCGTGTTTGGAGATTAAATTTATTTTCCTCCAGATGTAAAGAGTGCCCCCCTTGTCCTCTGTGATGACCTCAGGGTGAATAGCTCTAAACCGAGTTCACTATATGAACCACTGATATATTTATACATGTTGATCATATCCCCCCTTATGTATTATACATGGAGATCATACCCCCCCTTATGTATTATACATGGAGATCATACCCCCCCTTATGTATTATACATGGAGATCATATCCCCCCTTATGTATTATACATGGAGATCATATCCCCCCTTATGTATTATACATGGAGATCATATCCCCCCTTATGTATTATACATGGAGATCATATCCCCCCTTATGTATTATACATGGAGATCATATCCCCCCTTATGTATTATACATGGAGATCATACCCCCCCTTATGTATTATACATGGAGATCATACCCCCCCTTATGTATTATACATGGATATCATATCCCCCCTTATGTATTATACATGGTGATCATATCCCCCCTTATGTATTATACATGGAGATCATATCCCCCCTTATGTATTATACATGGAGATCATATCCCCCCTTATGTATTATACATGGAGATCATATCCCCCCTTATGTATTATACATGGAGATCATATCCCCCCTTATGTATTATACATGGAGATCATACCCCCCCTTATGTATTATACATGGAGATCATACCCCCCCTTATGTATTATACATGGATATCATATCCCCCCTTATGTATTATACATGGTGATCATATCCCCCCTTATGTATTATACATGTTGATCATATCCCCCCTCAATCTCCTCTTCTCAAGAGAGAATAAATTCAGTTCCTCTAATCTTTCCTCATAGCTGAGCTCCTCCATGCCTCTTATCAGTTTGGTTGCCCTTCTCTGTACTTTCTTCAGTTCCCCAATGTTCTTTTTGTGAATTGTTGCTCAAAACTGAACTGCATATTCCAGATGAGGTCTTACTAATGATTTGTACCAGGGTAATATGATATCTCTCTCTCGGGAGTCTATACCTCTCAATACAAGAGAGGATTTTGCTTGCTTTACAAACCGCAGCTTGGCATTGCATGTCATTATTAAGCTTGTGATCTACCAGATCCTTCTCTACCATTGATTCCCCCAGTTGTACCCCCCCCCCTAGTATGTATGATGCATGCATATTCTTAGCCCCCAAGTGCATAACCTTACATTTATCAACATTAAACCTCATTTGCCACATAGTTGCCCAATTACACAGAGCATTGAGGTCGGCTTGTAAATTGGAGACATCCTGTATGGACGTTATTTCACTACACAGCTTGGTGTCATCTGCAATGACTGGAATGGGATTTTTATTCCCAAACCCTATATCGTTTATATTAAAAAGTAAGGGTCCTAGCACTGAACCTTGGGGTACACCACTGACAACCCTAGACCATTCAGAATATGAATCATTAACCACTTCTCTCTGAATACCATCTTTTAGCCAGTTTTCTGCCCATTTTACATACAGATTTTTCCAAGCCTGTAGACTTTACACATTAGCTGTGTGTGGGAAACTGTGTCAAATGCTTTTGCAAAATCCAAGTATACCATGTCCACCACCACCCCTCTGTCCAAGTATACCATGTCCACCACCACCCCTCTGTCCAAGTATACCACGTCCACCACCACCCCTCTGTCCAAGTATACCACGTCCACCACCACCCCTCTGTCCAAGTATACCACGTCCACCACCACCCCTCTGTCCAAGTATACCACGTCCACCACCACCCCTCTGTCCAAGTATACCACGTCCACCACCACCCCTCTGTCCAAGTATACCACGTCCACCGCCACCCCTCTGTCCAAGTATACCACGTCCACCGCCACCCCTCTGTCCAAGTATACCACATCCACCGCCACCCCTCTGTCCAAGTATACCACATCCACCGCCACCCCTCTGTCCAAGTATACCACGTCCACAGCCACCCCTATGTCCAACGTTCTGCTCACCTCCTCATAAAAAGAAATCAGATTTGTTTGACAACTTCTGTCTTTCATGAATCCATGCTGTCTGTTACTTAAAATATTTTTTTCCAGCAGGAACTCATCTATGTGGTCTTTTATTAAACTCTGCAGTATCTTCCCAACTATAGAAGTTAAACGAACAGGTCTATAATTACTTGGTAAAGATTTTGGCTCCTTTTTATATATTGACACCACATTGGCCTTACGCCAATCCAGTAGTACTATGCCAGTCATTAAAGAGTTCCTAAAAATTAGAAACAATGGCTTTGAAATGACAGAGCTCAATTCTTTAAGGACTCGTGGGTGTATGCCATCCGGTCCAGGTGCTTTATTCACCTTTATTGTGTCTACATATTTGTGGATTATATCAATTCTGAGCCAATGTGGATCATCTGGAGTTGTGTCAATACCATGTCCATTATGGACAAGAGCTTCCCATGCTCCTTTATATACACAGAGCTGAAGAAGGTATTTGAATAAATTTGCCTTCTCTTTGTGGGTGTATACCATCTGGTCCAGGTGCTTTATTCACCTTTATTGTGTCTACATATTTGTGGATTATATCAATTCTGAGCCAATGTGGATCATCTGGAGTTGTCATTACCATGCCCATAATGGACAAATGTCCACCATGCTCCTTTGTATACACAGAGCTGAAGAAGGTATTTAATAAATTTGCCTACAAGGGCCTACATGCTCGGGCCGGACCTTTTTACTATTGATTTATTTGAAGAATTTTTTGAGGTTGGTCCTGCTATCTTTTGCAATCTGCCATTTTAATTTTTGCGGCCTTTATTTCCTTTTTCTATATTCTGTTGTATTATTTGTAATGTTTAAACGATGATTGCTTTCCTTACATTTT